GCTAGTGCCTCCCCCCACCTCCTGTCAGCTTTCTTATCCCCCACAACATGTCCATGTACCCTACCTCTGGTGGAGCCTGGGTGGCTGGAGTGGCCCCTGTCACAGCTACCAGCCCCACAATGGGTGTCTGCTTGCTTCTAGGACCCTTCTGCTCTTCGAAGTGGCTCGTCTCTCACTGACCTTGAAGTGCGAGGAGGTCGCTTGGGGCTGCATCTCAGACCTAAATGCGATGGAGAACATGGTGAGTGGCTGGCGGCCACAGCACGGGGCCCCAGCTGAGGGTCGGGACCATGAAGGCATGAGTGTCTCACAGAAGGGCCACCACAAGGGCTCAAGCGTGTGGGTGGGGCCTGCCCTCCCCATCTTGGTGCACGTGTCATGTGGATGCCATCCCATGGCCTTGTGAATTTGCATCTTACCCCCTTTGCTCTGCCTGTTTCCACGTGGTAACAGTTGTTTGCAACAGTCACTTCTGTGTAAGGCAGTGTGAGTGACTTACTCTCCCCTCCCCTGTTGTGGGATCTTGGAATCATGTCTGCTTTCCTGCTGTGTAAACTCTGCGGTGAGACTTAGTGCCTGAAAGTCATCTTCTGTGTCCAGGATTTACCCCAAGGTAAGGTCGCTGACATGGAGCCACCAGGGCATTCTCACTTTCAGATTGTTAAATATGCATTTCGGTCTTGCCCCAGAAAAGCTTTGCCCCCCACCCCCACAGGACTGTCAGGGTCCATGTTTCAGGCCTGCTGGTCTTTGTTTTTTTCAGAACTAAAGGCTGTGTCACAGAGCAGGCGTTCACCGTAGTGGTTCACACTTGGCGTTTAGAATGTAAAGCTGAGAATTTGACATCTGCCTGTTAGCTCGTGCAGGCAGGGGCGGGTCCTCATGGTTTGACTGAGCACTGCTGTGTGCAGCCCAAGTGACATGTTAACTTTGGGTGACTCTCAGGAAGCTCATGGCCAATACAGCCATAAGACCATGCTAAGTACCCATTTCGTGGTATAGATGGTCAGAAACACAGGGATTGAGCAGAAGGGCCCTCAATCTGATAGAGGGAAGCTAGGGACAGCCTACAACTGACGTGATGCTTAATGATGTGAGGCTGACTGAGCTCTGACCTCAGGATCAAGGAGAAGACGCCCTAACTCCTACCACACAGTCCACCTTGGGATGGAGTTTCTGCCTAGTAGTCAGTCAAGAGAAGAAGTAAACAATGTCCAGATTGGAAAAGGATGAAGAAAAACTGTCTTAGAAATCCAGTGGCGCACACACACACACACACATGTACATACACCCACACACGCACATACATACGTTGTTGTTGTTGTTATTTGCCATCGAGTCGGCCCCGACTCATAGCGACCCCTCCTTGGGTTTCCGAGGCAGTATCACTACGGAAGTAGGAATGCCCAACCTTCCTTCCGAGGAGTGGCTGGTGGATTTGAACCGCCAGCCTTCTGGTTAGCAGTCAAGTGCCTTAGGCACTATGCTACCAGAGCTCCTACACACTACTAAAATTAATAAGTTAGGTTAAAGACATTGTCGGGTGGAAAAGGAGTTTACAAAAATTGATGACATTTCTCTGAGCAGTGAAAAACAGAAATTAAAATTGAAAAAAAAATAATACCCATAAATAGCATCTGTGGTGGTTAAGTCTGTATGTCAACTTGGCTGAGCCTGGCTGAGTGGCTGGACAGCTAGATGTAGTACTCCCCATGATGAGACTGGTCATCAACTCCATGGTGGAATCTACTGTGAGCAGCTCAGTAGCTGCCTTAGGGATATGGTCTGCTTCCTGTATATAAGGAGAAGCCTTGGGGAACAGTGTCTAGCTTAAGGCACGCTTGGATCCTGCATGTAGCCGTGTTGTTGTTCAGCAGCCTGCCATGCTCTGCCAACCTTGGGACTTTCAATGGACTTGAGTTAATGGCCTGCCGTGTGGTTTGGTAACATCGGGACTGTGCCTTTTTACTTGCCAACCTTGGGTTTGTCAGTCTCAGCAGGCAGCAGCTGAGTGAAGAAATGCCTCTAGCTCCAGTGGGCCAGGAGCAGGAAGCAGAGCTGAACCCCAAGGCTGAAGGGCTTTCAGCCAGCCCCTAGAGCTAGCACTTTGAACTAGGACTTAAAGCCTCCAAGCTGTAGGAGAATAAACTCCTATTTGTTAAAGCCATCCCATTTGTGGTATACTCTTGTCAGAGCAGAACTAGGTAACCAAAACAGCATCCAAACTCAAACCAAACTCACTGCTGTTGAGTCAATTCTGACTCATAATGACCCCTCCTTGGGTTTCCAAGGCAATATCTCTACAGAAGCAGATTGCCCAGTCTTCCTTCCGAGGAATGGCTGGTGGGTTTGAACCACCAGACTTCTGGCTAGCAGTCAAATGCCTTAGCACTACGCCACCAGAGCTCCTATAATAGCATGTTGTTATTGTTGTTGTCCCCTATAATAGCATAGAGAACATAAAATACTTAGGGATAAATGTGACAAAAGATGTGTAAAGCCTGTGAGCTGCAAATGACAAAGCGTGGCTGAGTGAAGTGAAAGACGTCCTAGAGAAATGGAGAGATACACTGTGTTCACGGACCGGAAGACTCACTAGGTTTAGATGCCAGTTTTCCCTGGACTGAACCAGTGATCCAGTGCAGTCCCAAGAAAACTATACACTGAGTGAAAACGTAAGTGGAGACGTAAGGGGCCTGTTGTCAGGTGCTGTCAAGTCACTTCCAACTCATAGTGACCCCTATACAACAGAATGAAGCACTGCCTGGTCCTGCAGATGTGCCGGAGACCATCATCACAGCCACTGTGTCAGCCCATCTTATTGAGGGCCTGCACCTTTGTCACTGACCCACTACCTAACCAAGCATTCTATCTTCCAGGGACTAGTCCCTCCTGATAACATGACCAAAGTATAAGAGACGAAGTCTGGCCATTCTTTTTCCAAGACAGATTCGTGCATTCTTCTAGCAGTCAATGGTACATTCCATATTCTTTGCCCACACCACAATTCAAAGGCATCAACTCTTCTTCGGTCTTCTTTATTCATTTCCCAGCTTTCACATGCACATCAGGCTATTGAAAATATTATGGCTTGGTGAGGTATACCTTAGTCTTCAAAGGGACATCTTTAAAGAGGTCTTTTTGCAATAGATTAAAGGACCTAAATAGCTAAAAACAACTTTGGAAAAACAGAACAGTCAGGAGACTTAAACCTGAGGCCCAGCTTGTTGTTGTTGTTATGTGCCGTCAAGTCGGCCCCGACTCATAGCGACCCCTCATTGGGTTTCCGAGGTAGTATCACTACGGAAGTAGGATTGCCCAACCTTCCTTCCGAGAAGTGGCTGGTGGGTTTGAACCGAGGCCCAACAGTTGGACCATTATCATCTTGGCATGAAGAGAGTTCCATCAGCCAATGAAGTCCAACAGTGCAGAACTAGATCCACAGACACACGCTCAACTGATGTCTAACAAGGAGCAAAGGTGTGGGGTGCAGGAGCAATTGAATAGTGATAGTGTGTTACTGATCCATTTCTCACACCGTACACAGAAATGAACTCAAAATGCATTGCAGACCTACATGTAACATTTCTCAAAGGAAACATAACAGAAATGTGACCTTTAGTAAAGCAAAGGATTCTTAGGCCACCAAAAGCAATCCATAGAAGAAACCAACATATTGAACTTTATCGAAACTAAAGACTTCTGCTCTTTGAAGATACTGTTAAGAGGATGAAATACAAGCCAGAGACTGAGAGAAAATGCTTACAAATCACACATCTGATCAAGAGACTAAAGTCCAAAATATATAAAGAATTCTTAAAATAGTAAGGAAACAAATAACCTCATAGAAAGTGCACAAAAGTTCTAAACAGACATTTCACCAGTGAAGATCTAAGATGGCCAATTAGCTCATGAAAAGATCCTGAACATCATTAGTCGTTGTTGTTGTTGTTTGCCATGGAGTTGGACCCGACTCATAGCGACCTCTCCTTGGGTTTCTGAGGCGGTATCCCTACGGAAGTAGATTGCCCAACTTTCCTTCTGAGGAGTGGCTGGTGGGTTTGAACTGCCAGCCTTCTGGTTAGCAGTCAAGTGCCTTAGGCACTAGAACATGCAACTTAAAGCCACATTGAGATAGCACCACACCTGTTAGCATGGCTAAAATGAAAAGGCTGAACATGCCAAGTGTTGGCAGGGATGGGGATGAACTGCAAGTCTCATTCACTGCTGTTAGAAATGGAAACCAGCACAACCACCTTGGACACTTGGGCAGTTTCATAAAACTTTAATATACTCCTGCTGTAAACCCAGCCGTTCCACTCTTAGGTATTGAACCAAGACAAACGAGAGGACATGTTCACGTAAACACTTGTGCATGAATGTTCATACCAGTTTTATGTCATAGTGGAAAACTGACAATGGCACAGACACCTAACAGCTGTGGAATGGCTGAACAAACTGTGGTGTCACATTCACATGGCAGAGAAGCACTCAATAGTGACAGGAAATGAGCTGGTGAGAGACACAGAGGTGGACGCGTCTCCACACAACTGTGCTGGGGAGGAAGAACCTTACACAGAGAGCATGAGGAACAGGATAGTGCTCATGTGAGATTCTAAAATGTGCAGACCTGTCTCAGTTCAGAGAGCAGCTCAGTGGTTGTCCTGAGGGTGGGGGTGCAGGAGGGAACTGCAGGGTGCTGTGGGTTCCTATCTTGGTTATGGTGACAGTTTCATGAGATTGTACATATGTCAGAGCCAATGAACTGGGACACTGTGAGTATGTGCAGCCTGTTGCACATCACTTACATTTCAATAAAACTGTTAAAAAAGAGACTAAAAAATCAGTAAATAAAAGTTGTCAATTGAAATATCGGAATTATTTCTTTATTAACCATGTAGATTCTTCTTTCTCTCTCTCATGGAGCCTCATGACTAAGGCATGGCCCCCCTCTTTCTCTCTCATGGAGCCTCATGACTAAGGCATGGTCCCTCTCTCTCTCATGGAGCCTCATGACTAACGCATGGTTCCTCTCTCTCTCTCTCTCTCTCTCTCTCTCTCTCATGGAGCCTCATGACTAAGGCATGGTTCCTCTCTCTCTCTCTCTCTCTCTCTCTCATGGAGCCTCATGACTAAGGCATGGTCCCTCTCTCTCTCTCTCATGGAGCCTCATGACTAAGGCATGGTCCCCCTCTCTCTCATGGAGCCTCATGTCTAAGGCATGGTTCCCCTCTCTCTCTCTCATGGAGCCTCACGACTAAGCCATGGTCCCTCTCTCTCTCATGGAGCCTCTTGACTAAGACATGGTAGACACCCTAGCAAATGCTATTCTGAATTTACAATAATGGCACCTAGCTAAACTATACAAAGTACAGGAAACGTTTGAGGACAAATTTTCAGATCCTGATCAGCGCCTCTGTAGCCTCTGTGGACATTTCTGTGCACTCGTGTGGTTCCCCATGTGCTCTGAGTCACGTTGTGTCAAGGGTCTTCACGCCCAGCGCTAAGGCTCTTGCTGACTGCCAGCATCCTTCTGGCCATCGGGTGTGACTTTGAGCACTTGCCCTGTATTCTGTCAGGAATGTTAAGGCTGTAGGTGATTTTCAATCCCAAAACCTGCATGCGTGTTTAAAGCAGAGCTCTGTGGTGTCTTCCTTCCATTTCACCAGAGAGACGGGTGGAAACAAATTAACTGATGTCCCAACTTGGGGTCAGTTAAAGAATTTCTGATACAGACGGGGTAGGTAAAGGATTGGGCTGCTAACCAAAGGTTAGCGGTTCAAATCCACCAGCCGCTCCAGGAAAAAGCTGTGGCAGTCAGCTTCTATAAGCACCACAGCTTTAGAAACCCTGTGGGCAGTTCCACTCTGTCCTCTAGGGGTGCTGTGAGTTGGAATCGACTCCACAGCAGTGGGTGTGGTTAGGATTTTGCTTCCGTGAAGATTGACAGCCTTGGAGACCCTGTGGGGCAGTTCCACTCTGTCCTCTTGGGGCGCTGTGGGTCGGAATGGACTCTCTGTCAGTGGAGTTTGGTTGTTTTATTCCTCTATTAAGAAGATTAAAAACTTTGTGTTCTTACTTCAATCCTTTTTATCTTCAGAAGCCCCTTAAGTTTTTCTTGTATCTTTGGGTCATCTTACGATTTTTACTGTGGACTTCCTACCTAGGACATTAGTGCCATCTTGGGGTGTCTTTGAGCTTAATGAAAGGTCAAGGTGGTTTCCATTTGAAGTCTTGACATATTCAAACCCCATCTGTATCCTACAGGACCCTGGGAAGCTGATTGAAATCGAGTGCCTGGAGTGTGAATTTGAAGCTTTTAAACTTGAAAATAAAATTAAAGTCTATGTCCGAGCAGCCGTGGAGGTAATCTGTAACCATGGGAGTCTGTTGCAAATTTCCAAAGTGGCTGAGGGCTGGGTTTGTGCCAGACTCAGGAGTGCTGGTGACAGCCTGGTGGGTATCAAGGGAAGTGGTTGTTCCAGACCTGACGCCCCCAGCCCAGCCTCCCATGCCTCATTTTCCCTGCTTGTGAGTGGCCTGACCCCTTGGAGCACGAGAGACCTGAGTGGAACCTGAGCCACCAGTGCCAGCCACCAGGCCCCCACCATACAGTCTGCAGCAGGCCCTGATGCAGCCTGGGCATCACAGAGGGGCCAGGGCCCCAGAGTCTGTGGGGCATGGTGTGGAGGCCCTCGGCCACCGCTTGGCCCCAAGTGGAGGAGGTGCTGCTGGGTGGTGACATCACGGGTACATTGCCCCAGTGACCAAGGTGCAGGCAGACTCTGATTAAACCACTTCTTGGAAGACAGACGTTCATGTAAACCAGGACAGTGTTCTGTGGGGCACTGCCCAGCTGGAAAGGTCACCCAGCACTTTGAAGGCAGGCCCAGGACCAGGATCTGGCCTGTGGGGATTTCAAATTCCGGGCTGGTGAACGTCTCCCAACCCCACCTGTTGCCCTGCCCCGCATCTGATCCTAACCCATTGACTGGTGGCGGCTGGCTCTGCTCAGAACATGGTGTGCCAGCCTCACAGCTCTGTAGCTCCCTGGTGGTCACAGAGCAGCCCCTGTGTTCCCTGGTGGTCACGGAGCAGCCCCTGTGTTCCCCGGTGGTCATGGAGCAGCCCCTGTGTTCCCTGGTGGTCACGGAGCAGTCCCTGTTCCCCGGTGGTCACGGAGCAGCCTATGTTCCCTGGTGGTCACAGAGCAGCCCCTGTGTTCCCCGGTGGTCACGGAGCAGCCCCTGTGTTCCCCAGTGGTCACGGAGCAGCCTATGTTCCCTGGTGGTCACGGAGCAGCCTATGTTCCCCGGTGGTCACGGAGCAGCCCCTGTGTTCTGTGCAGACCCAGCTGAGCATCATCCAGAGACTGGACGTGGCACTGCAGCGCGCAGTGCGCCTGGGCGACCCCCGTGTCATCCACGTCGTGTGCACCACACAGTGGAATGCCAGCCTCCCTTTGCTCCAGCACAACCTTCGCCACCACCTGCGGAAGGCCCTGACCAATGTTGCTGAGGTCCTGGAGAAGTTGGACAGGTAGGCCGCCACCCCTGTCTGATGGTGCTGACGGGGCTCCCTCCGAAACACAGACAGCAGAGGGTTCAGTCAGGACTTTCAGTGCTACGAGGAAGTACAGAACAAAACATGTTTTCTGAAAGAGGGTGCAGGCAGAGTCTCTACCTGTGTTCAGGTGGAGCTCGACCGATGTTCAGATGACACAGCAGTCACTGTGGGCTGCTCCCGGCGCTGGCCAGTGGTGGGGGCCGGCTTGGCCCCATGCCTGGTCACATGGAGCTCCTGAGGGCAGGGCCTGGTTGTGGGGAGCAGGGGAGGGGTGCATACTGAAGAGTGGGTGGAACGCAGAGTAGTCTGCCCGTCCCGCTCCACCCTGCCTTGCAGTTGTGGTTGGAGCTGGGCGCGGAGCTTCCTCTGGTTACTGGGAGGTGGGGTGGCACTGCAGAATGCGGAGTGTCCATCTGTTCCCATGCACCTCTCTACCATGACCATGTTTGAATCACTCACCACACCCCCGACCACTAATCTTGCACCAGCAGCATGTCCTAGAGACACGGGTGAGGGACAAGGCCAGGATGGTGCTCTCGGGCCTGCTTCCTGCTGGGTGGGGTGAGACTACATCTGTAAGTGCACCTGCACGTACACCTGCATCTACATGAGGCCTACATCTGTGTCCACACCTACACCTGTACCTGCACGTACTTACACAGCTACAGCCACATTGGACTGTGCAGATCGGAGCCAATTACAGAGAACACTGAGAAGAATAGGAATTCCAGAACATGATTGTGCTCTTGAGGAACCTGTATAGAGACCAAGAGACGGTCGTTCGAACAGAACAAGGGGACATTGCATGGTTTAAAATCAGGAAGGGCATGCATCAGGGCTGTATCCTCTCACTTATTCAGTCTGTATGCTGGGAAAATAAACTGAGAAACTGGACTATCTGAAGAAGAGCATGGCATCAGGATTGGAGGAAGAATCATTAACAACCTGTAATATGCAGATGACACAACCTTGTTTGCTGAAAGTTAACATGACTTGAAGCCCTTATTGATGAAGATTGAAGAATATAAAGAAAATAAAAGTCCTCACAACTGTACCTATAAGCAGCATCATGATAAATGGAGAAAAGATTGAAGTTGTCAGGGACTTAATTTTACTTGGATTCACAATCAATGCCATGGAAGTAACAGTCAAGAAATCAGACAACGTATTGCACTGGGGAAATCTTCTGCAAAAGACTTCTTTAAAGGGTTAAGGAGCAAAGATGTCACTTTGAAGACTAAGGTGCGCCTGACCCAAACTATGGTATTTCCGTTGCTTCATATGCATGTGAAAGCTGTACAATGAATAAGGAAGACTGAAGAAGAGGTGATGCTTTTGAGTTGTGCTGGTGAAGAATGCTGAAAATACTGTGGACTGCCAGAAGAACAAACAAGTCTGTCCTGGAAGAAGTGCAGCTGGAATGCTCCTTGGAAACAAGAATGGCCAGACTTGGTCTCACCTACTTTGGTCGTGTTGTAAGAAGGGACCATCTCCTGGAGAGTGATGCCATGCTGGGTAAAGTGGAAGGTCAGCAAAAGAGGGGCAGACCCTCAATGAGATAAACCGACACTGTGGCTGCAACGAGAGGCTCAAGCACAGCAAGGATTGTGAGCTTGGTGCCGGGCAGGGCAGCGCTGCATTCTGCTGTGCATGGGGTTGCTATGATTCAGACCCGACTCAGTGGTACCTCACACACCACCGTCTACAGCTACCTGCACACCTGTGTCCACACTTACATGTACACCTACACCCACACCTAAGCCTACGCCTACACCTGCACACAGGCCACACATGCCTACACCGACACATCCATCAACATCGGTCTTACAAGGCCACACCTGTTTCCTTTGGCTTCCCCTGAACCCCAGGAGCCCCAGTCTTTCTTTCTTTTTTAATTTTTATTGTGATTTGGGTGAAAGTTTACAGAGAAAATTCACTTTCCATACAACAGCTCACATACACCTTGTCTCATGACATTGATTGCAGTTTCCCACAATTCAACAGTTTCCCTCCCACTTCCTCCCCATAGTTACATCTTCCCTGTGTCCCTCCATGCACTCCTGCCCCCTGAGCTGTCTCCCTGTGCATAAACAGCCCTTCTATTCTCTCATGATTGTTCTCTCCAAGGAGTATATCTCCCTAGTGTAAATGTTCAGCTCATATGCCTGTTTTCTGTTTGGCTAGAAGCCACAGAGTGTGTTCAAGTCCAGACTTGAAGGGCAGCTAGGGGCCATAGTCTCAGTGGTTCCACCAGGCTCTATCAGACCAGCAAACCTTGTCTTTTTTTTTTTTAATGACTTTGAGTTTTGTTCCACATTGTTCTCCCAATCTATAGATTCCCCCTCCGAGTGATTGACTGTAGTAGCCAGGCACCATCTAATTCTTCTGGTCTCATAGTCATATAGGCTGCGGATTGCATGATGTACCAGTCGCTTGGACTAATTGTTTCCATGCATCTTTGGTTTTCTTCATTCTTCTTTGCTCTGGACGAGGAGAGACCCATCGTTGCATCTAGATGCCCACTTGAAGCTTTTAAGATCTCAGTTACTACTTGCCAAAGTAGGATGTGGAACAATGTTTTTGTGTGGTATGTTATGCCAATTGAGCTTGATGTCCCCTGTGACTATGGTCCCAAGCCCACAGGTCCAACTACTCGCTCTCTCTGGGTAGCTGGCTGTGGCCAAGAAGTGACTACAACCTTGTCTCTTGTCAGCTCTACTGTATACCTAGGAATTCTTACAGAACATACCAATATGCTTATAGAAACATTGTCTGCCAGCCCTATACATGGTCTTGGGCACACTCCCCCCTGCATAGACATACCTAATCATTCAGACTGTCCACCCATCTATCCACCCATAGATCAATGTTTGCCTTCACTGATAACACAGTACTTTATGTGCAAAAGGGTTCATCTTTGTTGTCTGTACCTCCCACGCACCTCTCTATGTTTTCCTCTTTCTCAATGCCACCATGTTGATCACTCACATTTGGTACATTGCCCTTCTCTTCACCCAAATCAATACTTGTCTCCACCTATCTAACAGTGTTCCCTCCCCTCCCCTCCCACTCCTGGTAACCAACAAAGAAAATTTCCTTCCATATATAAACCTTTCCTTGACTTTTTATAACAGACTAATATAATATTTGTCCTTCTGTGATTAACTTATTTCACTCAGAATAATGTCCTCCAAGTTCATCCATGTTTTGTGGTGTTTTGCAGATTCTGCATTATTCTTTAGGGTTGCATACTATTCCATTGTGTGTATGTACCATAGTTTGGTTATTCACTCTTCTGTTGATGGGCACCTAGGTTGTTTGCATCTTTTGCTATTGTAAATAGTGCTGCGATGAGCATGGGTGTGCATATATCTGTTCTTGTCATGGCTCTCACTTCTTTAGGGTATATACCTAGTGATGGAATGGTGGGGTCAAATGGCATTTCTAATTCCAACTTTTTAAGGAATCACCATACTGCTTTCCACAGTGGTTGTACCATTTGACAGTCCCACCAGCAGTGTATGAGAGTCCCAGTCTGTCCAGATCCTCACCAGCATTTGTTAGTTTCTGTCTTGTTGAACTTTGGTGCTGGTAGGAACCCCAGTCTCAATGGCCTACAGCTGAGTCTATATGGGCCTGCTGCACCTGCTTCCCTGTTGATCCCTTGAGGTCAGGGAGGGACCTGACCAAAGAGCTGAGGGGCTGAGGGGGAGACGCTGGGCAGCATGGTCTACACACCATTGGGGTGTGGGGGTGCTACAGGCTGGGGAGGGTGGAGTAAGGCCTCCCCTCCCTGGCTCCTCATGCCCCTTGACATCCCCGTCCCTGGGTCCTTTGCTGGCCCCTCACACACCTATGCCATCTGCATCCCTGGCCCCTCACACACCTGTGTCATCCGCATCCCTGGCCCCTCACGCACCTGTGCCATCCACGTCCCTGGCCCCTCAGGCACCTGTGCCATCCGCGTCCCTGGCCCCTCACGCACCTGTGCCATCCGCGTCCCTGGCCCCTCACGCACCTGTGCCATCCGCGTCCCTGGCCCCTCACGCACCTGTGCCATCTGCGTCCCTGGCCCCTCACGCACCTGTGCCATCCACGCCCACAGCCTGATGGTGCAGCTGCGCTGCCAAGTGCACATGGAGATGGCCCACATCGAGGAGGATGAGGACCGCCTGCAGCCTGCTTTGGAACATCTGCAGAAGGCCATGCATCTGGACAGCCTGGGCCTCTACCAGGACCAGCTTCAGACGGTGTCCAACCGTCTGAAGCTGTGTACCATGCTCTACCAGTCGCCTGAGCGTGCCGAGGACAGAGCTGTCATGGCCATCGAGCAGGTCTCTGCCCCATCTGAGCACAGAGTATCCTGTGCTCTGTGGGTCGAAAGGAGCTCTGCCTGGAGCAGAGGCAATGTCTACCCAGAAGGGGGTGGCAGGTGGCAGGGATGGGCCGTCGGGGACAGCGGGGACCTGGGAGGGCAGGAGTCTCTTTGCACTGCATCTCGACTGAGCGCAGGAGGAACCTCACACCAGTCTTGTTGGCAGCCACAGAATTGCCCCTTAGACCAGACAAGGGTGTGCTTACCACGCACTGTCCTCCCTGCAGGCGAAGAAGGCCATGCCCAAGGACAGTGTCCGGAAGAAGCGGGCCCTGCTGGTGAACGCCGGCCTGGCCCTGGCACCTGACACCTTCCAGATTGTTCTGGACAGCGAGAATGAGGCCAAGGGTGGGTCCACAGCGCGCAGGGGTGTGCACTGGGCAGGGCCTCGGGGACTCCAAGGGCGTGGCAGATGTCACACAAGGACAAGGCGCAACCTAGGTGCCGTAGAGAGATGCAGACTGGGCCAGAAAGTCCTTCTCGGCCCCAGAGGGCAGTAGCCACTGGAGGAGCTGGCGTGGTGCCCCTGGGCTGATGTGGCCTGCCGGTTCCCGCGGCCTCTGCTGCTGGCTGAGTCGTCATTGGGCCGGAGCCTTAAGGCACATGCTTGCATCTCCTCTTCACCACCAGTCTCCACTGGGAAGAACAGGAGCCGGTTCTCCTACCTGTTCGCCAAAGCTCGCCACTTCATCCTCAGTGTGGACAAGGCTGCCGGGCACCTACGGCGTTTAGGCAACGAGAATGACAAAGAGAGGTGCATCCTGCCCGCCCGCCCTTGTCCCCC